CGAACGAGCGCTACCCTAACCCTAAACCCTAAACTACCCTAAACCCTCAACCCTCAACCCTAAACCCTGAAGAGACAAGACGATTATAAGATGTGCCAGACATCATAGGGATACTTTTAATTCGCAAACCAATAACATGCGATGACCAGGCAAAAATGCTCCCTAGATCGGGCCAGTCGTATGTTCGTTCAGGGTTCAGGATTCAGGATTCAGGGTTTAGGGTTGGCTAAGACATTTGATAAGGAGGCTGTTGCAGTCAATAAGTTTTTGGGGCACGGCCGTTGGAGAGGAAAGGCCGGAACAAAATGTCTCCATGGGGGTATGATGCTGTAGTCTTCGACGAGATATATTTCAGGGTGTGAAACAGAATCAGTGAGTTTGTAGAAAAGAACCTCGACCTGATAATCAGGAGCAGGAGACAGTAAAACGAGCCAACCAACATACAGAAGCGCGATAGGATTTTCCCTCCCCACCCCACCCCCCCACCCCACCCCACCCCCCCCACCCCCCACCCCACCCCACCCACCCCACCCCCACCCCACCACGCCCACCCCCCACCCCCCACCCCACCCCCAACCGGTTGGGGGGTGGGGGTTGGGGTGGGTTGGGGTGGGTTGGGGTTGGGGGTTGGGGTGGGGGTTGGGGTGGGGGTTGGGGGTTGGGGGTTGGGGTGGGGGTTGGGGTGGGGTCCGCGGTTTTGCGATTTGGCGGCCGCCCAGCCCTTGGGGGGCCCTGGCCCCGGGGGCCCTTGGCCAGGTGCCCTTCTTGGCGGAGGGGTCTGGCCAGCACCCCCAACCCCCACCCCAACCCCCACCCCCCCACCCCCAACCCCCACCCCAACCCCACCCCAACCCCCAACCCCAACCCACCCCCACCACCCCCCCACACCCCGCCCCCCTTGTTTTTCTTGCTTTACCACTCCCAAATTTGGGTGCCTGTCTCTCATTACAACAGGCTTCATACCTGCGATCTTTGATTTGGGTTGAGCGGGCATAGCAAGTGGTTGGTAGCTTAATCGAAGCTCCTGAACAAGAACCCAGCAAACAAGCTGCTCCTGAACCCACACATTCCGAGGGCAAGGAGCTGCATGCCCTTGCAATTTGCCTCTACGCTGAGGATGGCGTCTGGATCCCAACGATATCCGAAGGTGGCAGGTCGGTTCCTCATGGCTCAAACACGCAGAGTCGGGCTAACCCGAAGAATCAAAACACCACGACCACCACGACCACCAAGAAAGAAAGAATGCACTGCGTAGTGAAGCTTCACCCCGTCGAACTTGAGAAAATGGCTGCTGCCCGCCATCAGTGTCATCTGCAAGGAAGTCTCGGAAACCGTCTGACCTTGGTTCTGCAAGGAGAAGGATAAGCTTGCCGACCTCGAACCCTAATTATATAAGCTTAGACCCTACCTTCCCAAGACCGGAACAAATGTAAAAAACGTCGTTTTAAACGCAAAGAATCCCAGGCGGTCAGAGTTGATTCCAGGCCTCAGGGCGAAGGATCCAGGCAAGATTTCGGGCCCATGCTTCTTTTGCACCGGAGCCGTAAAAGCCCAAGTGTAACAGAAGTCACTGGTGCTGTCTGCATGCACAAGAACCGAGCGTGTGGGTGGGAGGGCGGCCCATTTCATGCTAGGACTGCAGTTGCCTGACATCGTGAGAGGTCAGGGACATGTGCGCCTGTGACATGCAAAGCTGACGCCCTGCCACCAACCTTTGCAGAAAAGGAACGTTTCAATCCTTGGCTGTTGTCCATTTTATGACTCACCCTTACCCTGTGAACTCCACAGAAGAGCCTTCCTTCGCGCCCCCCCCCCGCCCCCCACCCCGAAGCTTCTCTGATGCCTCTCTGAGGGCAGCGTGAGATCGGAGGCGCTCTTCAGCTGCCCGTCGTCTGCAACCATCAGAGGATCATACTGGTCCACCTGACTATGTAAGGTATATTATATGGGGTTATGGAGGGGCTATATAGGGGGATAAGATTGAGGGTCCCTTCTAGGGGTCGTCCCAAGGCTTTTGGAGCCCGAAAAACCCTAAGCCCTTATTAGCTATGTTGGGCTTTGGGAAGCGTGGTGAATGCCGATGGCTGCTTCAGAAAGAAAAGACCCTCCGAATTCGATGGTTCCCGCTTTGCCTTTGCTGCTAAGCCGGTTCACATCGAGAACCTTGAACTAAACCCTAACGTCAACTCATGAACCGTGTGCTCAATTTAAGACTGGGTTGGTAGGTCAGGCTTTAGATGCTCAAGGTTGGAATGTCGATGATCTGAGCATGGGCATAAATTATGTTTTGGTGGCGCTCTGATGTTTAGAACTACTCGGATTGTTCCCTGAAAAGACAAAACACGAGCCCTTTGTGCTCTTAGCAGCCAAGGTTATCTCAGGCGGAGGCCGGCGGTTCTAGCTGACATCCATTAGTATAGTGCATCAACAAGCTGGAATAATCGTTTCATTCAGGCGCTGCTCTGCGGCTTCGGTTGTGCGCGACTTTGTCAGCAGGTCAGTTGTGTTCAGTTCACAAAAATTTTTTTCCGTAAGCTCCCTGTCATCCACAGTTACGCGGTGGTGCTGCACCAGTGCTACTGGGCTTTGGCTGCTCTCGGATCTTCTGTCCGCGACATAACTCTTGTGTGGTACCCGGCGTCGCACCTAGACGACTAGTGGCTTCACCCGAACTCAAGGCCTTGCTTAATGCATGAAGCCCACGCGAATCTCCAGCTCCAGCTTGGAAGAGAAGTACAGCTCCTGCCGGTTCCTCGCTTGAAGCTGAGATCTTGCATCACTCAACCGGCTACTGTTGTTGAAGTGTTTGATGTTTTTACAGCAGCTTGGTGCTTTGAGTTTTGAGTTCAGGCTGAGTTGTTTTGCCAAGATGTGGCTTCAAGACTAGAAACCCCGAAACAAGTTCCAGGTATGTTGGGGCTTGGGGTTCGGGGAGAAGAAAACGTTAACAGACACAAACTTGAGACCTAACCTCAGCCAAGGCGGCTGCTGGTCGTAGACGCGGTAGGGTGCCTTGACAACCTGCTCCAGAATCCCGAAGCCCCCCTAAACCCTAAACCCTAAAACCTAAACCCTAAAACCTATAAACCCTGTAACCCTATCAACCCCATCAACCCCATCAACCCTATCAACCCTATCAACCCTATAAACCCTATAAGCCCTATAAACCCTATAAACCCTATAAACCCTATACCCCAAACCGTTACGAATCCTAAACCCTAAACCCTAGACCTAGACCCCAAAGCCTACAGCCTCAACCCCTCAGGCCTGAGCCCTAAACATTCAAGGCTTGAGACATCAGCGGCCACTCTGCCCTGCACCTAAGCCTAAAGTAACTCGTAAGGAGTAAGGACCTGTTTTGCAAGCACTCTCTGCGGCAGCAGGCTTCGCACTAGTGCAACCAGCAACCAGCCAAGGACCGTTTAGGGTTTAGGGTTTTTGGTTCTTTCGAGCACCCAAACATGGGCCCTATGACTAACATAGGAATGTTCTAGACTCATTCTTTCGGACTTGGTTCTCCCTAAGCCCTTAACCAAAGACTCCGTATCCTCAACCCCCCCCCCCCCCCCCGGAAAGTCTCCAACGCCCACGCTCCGCGAAAGTAACTTGTGCGCACATACGCTTTAAGGTTTAGGGCTTCGGGTGTTCAGAATCTTCAAGCCTAAAACCCTGAAGCTTGAAAACAGATGGTACCCAATTGATTGCCCGCAGCTTGCGCGCAGCTGTCTCGCAAACACAAACCTCCTCTTACTGGGAAGCGCAGATCGTCTCACTGAACATTCCCGTGGTAGATGTCTGCCGAGTGTCTGGGTACCTAAACCCCAAACCCCAAACCCCAAACCCCAAACCCTAAACCCTAAACCCTATAAACCCTATAAACCCTTTAAACCCTATAAACCCTAAACCCTAGGTGTCCGGGAGCGGACAATGCATCAGGACCAGAGGGTGTTTCAGCCCGAGCATAGGGGCGGACCCACCCGCGGCCACCCCCCACCTGCCCCCTGAAACATCCCGGATGGCTTGGTTTTTCTTGTGTTGCCACTCCCACATTTGGGGTGCCTGGTCTTGTCATGAGCCCACAACAGGCTTCTCACCTGCGATCTCCCCGGGCAGGCCCAGAGGCGTGAACATTCAAAAAGCTTGGGGGGGTTGGATTTGGGGGTCCTGGGGGACTGCGGGGATGCCTTTGGGCCTGCGGATTTCGAGTTCAGGGTTTAGGGTCCAAGCAACTCAAGTTTAAGGCTTGGGGCTCGAGATCTTTTGGTTTGGATTTGGGTTTGGCTTTAAGCGGTTGAGGTTCCGGTGATTTGAGGTTTGTTGGTGATGTGCTCCGCTAGCGACAAGCCCTAAGCCCAAATCCCCAAACCTCGAAACCCCAAAGCAACCTGCACGCATGCGCCGCAGGCAAAGCTGCTGAGCGCTGGGTGCCCATCGGCGTCCCACCTGGATTTGACAGTTTCCGTCGGCGCTGTGGGGTCTGGGGGGGGACTCTGGGCTTAGGGTTTTGGGGGAGAAGGTCTGAAGGTTGGTTTGTGTTCTTCTTCGATATTTTCTTGGAATTTGTACGAGCAGCTGTGCCACTACTAGTTTAGGGTTTAGGGTTTAGGGTTTTTGAGACCGACATGTTTTGCTACTTCTATCACGACCTGGGGGGTTGATCCTTGCTTCCCAAACGGCCAGCTGCCACCGACACAGGTCACGGTCGGCGACGCAGGCGCCAGGCCTGGAACCTGCTCAAACAGACGCGTCAACCGATAGACCCAAAACCCTGAGCCCTAAAGGCCCCTAAACCTTGAACCTCTAAACCCCTTCAGGTCTTAAACGCCTAAACCCGCGTTTGCTCCGCTTCAATCTGCAACTTTAGCCCCTTCGTTGGCTCAGCCCTTTACCATGAAAGAGGTGTCTTTTGTGAGGGCAGAGGGCTTATCTGGCATTTGGGCCTTGGTGAGCGCCTCACCCCTGAAGCAGACTCCTAGTCCCTGTCTCAGCCTCTGGGTGTGTTACTGGTGCGTAGCGCTGCTGCCAACAGGATACCTTGGATCGTTTATGCAGGGGGTAGCGTCTTGGGGAGAGAGGTCATTGCTCCATCGTCCCGGGGCAAAAACCAAGATCAACCTCACAGCGTGCAAGCCGAACAAGCTCTATTCAGCCAAAAAATGACCCACAACTGCCCTGTCATCTGTTTCTTCTGACTACCAGCAACAACACCAGCAAAAAGCCCGTGTCAAACGTTTCCGGGTTGCCAAGAGCTGGCTTCCGGTGGCGAAGCTAGCAGGCATCGGCCTGCTTGGAGCAGACTTCATGTGGGCTTAGGGTTCAGGTAAACAAGGCAAGGCTGCTGTAGTCTGATCAAGAAAGAGGAAAAAAGGGAGCCTGGACCCAGCTACAGCATCCTAACACAGGGCTGCTCCTCGGTAGGCCCCTCGGGCTGAGACCCCTGAACCCCAAGCCTTTATTTTTACGCGTGGGGAGGGTGCAGGAACCCCTCAAACATGGAAGACCACAACAGGCCCCCCGTCGTCAGAGGAACAGCAGTCAGGACAGAGAGCCCCTTCATAGGTTTCAATGCTGGGCTTGGAGCGTCATTGGAAAGACTTCAGGGCAGCAATGAAGCCTAGGGCCGAAGCATCTGTTTGCACTTGTGGTTCCATAAACACCAGAAGCCCCTCAAGGAGACTAATGTACGCTGCCCTGACTTGGGCTAGATAGGTTTCGGGTTGCTTAGGGTTCAGGAGGCTTGGCCGCCAAAACCTGAAACCTGAAATGGAAGACCCCCCCGCCCCCCCCGCCTCCCCGCTTCCCCCCAAGCCCTGGATCAATGCACACACCTACCCCACGCAAGAGGAGCTTCAACCGAGCTGAGAACAAATGCACCTGAGGTTAGATGGTACTCGAACTTATGCGAAGCGTTCCTATCTTCGTAATGGTTGCTCTTTGAAGTGCAAAAGCTGCCCAGCCTTTTGTGTTGCCAGGCTGCTTCCCCGGCCTTTGCAGGTGTCGATCGCGCTTTGCAGGCAGTGGAGGGTAGAAAACCCAAACCCAAGCAAAACAACCTTGAAAGAGACCTCAAAACCCTTTCCTTGCCCGAGATGACACTGCGTGGCTTTCCCCGCTTCGGGTTGGGTTCAGCTCCGGGCCTGGGAGTCTTCTAGGTGCTGCCATCAAAAAGACTTAGGACAAACACTAGGCATTAGGACCGTCCGACCACCCCCTTTCTCGCTTAGCTGCCGCCCTAGCCCCAAGCATCCTTCGTGCATAGCCCTTGTAACCTTGAAGCCCTTCGCCACAAACCCGAGACTGACTAGGCAGAGCTGGAATACCCCCCAAATCTAATCACCTCTTCCCCTGAAACCGAATCACCCTAAACCCTACGCCCTAAACCCTAAACCCTAAGCCCTAAACCCTAAACCCTAGACCCTAAACCCTAAAACCTAAAACCTAAACCCTACAAAACGCTCTGCTAGGCCTCGGCGTAGGCGCAACCAAAGCACCTTGCGCGGTCTCTGTATTCCGAGAACAGTGTGCAGGCAGGCTTGCCGAGGAACCCTACTGCTACTACCACTCCTGCTGCTAGGGTTTAGGGTTTAGGGTTTAGGGTTTAGGGTTTAGGGTTTAGGGTTTAGGGTTTAGGGTTTAGGGTTTAGGGTTTAGGGTTTAGGGTTTAGGGTTTAGGGTTTAGGGTTAAGGGTTTAGGGTTTAGGGTTTAGGGTTTAGGGTCAATGCTTATCGCTATTGCTAGTGCAAGTGTGAAATTAGCCGGCGTCCAACCCCTGGCCGAGCCGGCCTTAACCGATGAGTGTCGCAAGAGACTGGGGATATAGGGGTAGCCCTAGAATTGAAATGTGAGTGCATATCCTGATCCTATATACGTACCTCATATACTTGCGGCCTGAAACATCTAGATCAACCTCACATATGATCAACTAGCAAGCCTACAATCTACAGGTTTTGCTAACTCCGACTGAGACGGGTACCTCAACCCCATGGACCCCATGTCCAAGACCCCTCAATGCCCTAATGCCCCGAAATCCTTCATCCCTACCCCAGCCTTTCCACACCCTGGCCACCCAAAAGAAGCTTCTCATCACACTGCTGTACGAGGTTTGGGAAGATGCACTTGCCACCGCCTGCGAGCATCTGGGGCATTTGACTTGCCTCCAGTACCCGACGGAAACGATTTGAGCCCTGAGAACAGTATGCATCTTGGGTCCAACACATGAGGAGCTGAAACTGCGGCTGAGTTGTTCGACTTGACGTTGCGCTTCTTCCAGCTCGAGAATCTTGATTTACGCAAGACTTTGGGTTCGACTTCCAAACGCAACCGCAACAAACCTTACCCCAACCCAAGACCCCGAAACCAGAAACCCTGACCGCTGAACCCTCTAAATCCCGGGCTCGGGGTTGTGGCCTCAGGGTGCAGCGAACAGAAGTGCCGACCACTGAGCACAAAGCCTAAACCTTCAGCCCCAAAGCTGTAACGCAGTATCCCGGAATCCGGAAGGCCAAAACCCAAAAAACCTTTAATTCGCCGAACGCCCTGACACCCTCAACCCGCAGCCCCCAAGAAGAGCAACAACCCTCAAAATCTGCACCCCGCCGCTCTCCACCCTCACACATGCCCTCCGGGGAAGGCATGCCGTGGCCTTTCAACTGAACCCTAATCCTGCACCCACCCTAAGAAACCCCACCTGTGGGGTCTGAGTCCAAGCTGTCAGTTTGCCTTGGGAAAAATGGCTTTGCTTGGGGTGTAGGGCTTAGGATTGAGGACGAAAGAAACTTAAAATCTCAGGCCCGTGCCTACACTGCAACAACCCCCAGAAAGTTGTAATCCTAAAGCCTAGAGGTTCAGACGTTGGGCTGCTCAAGGTGCCCAGGGGCACCTGTCGGGCTCAGGGTTTAGGGGGGGGTTTAGGGTTTAGGGTTTAGGGTTTACGGTTTAGGGCTTATTTAGCGCTTAGGGCTTCGAGAAATCAAAGCCGGCGTTTGAGGAAAGAAGTCCCAAAACGCAGGGACGCCGACGCGGCCCGCTCCAAAACCATGTAATCGCCCCTATACTTTTCTTAGAGCCATAGTGCAAGAGACAACTTGCATATGCCCCCCGCGGGTTTTATACACGCGTGAACTAGACCATAGTTCCTAAAACGACTATGGGCCCTTGATCCTTGAGCCCCTTAATTTTTTGGGCCCAACTTAGATGACAGAGCCCATGTTTCGGGGCACCAGTGGTTTAGGGCTTCAGGGTTTTCGGGGTCTTAGGGGCGGATTTAGGGGTTGCAGGCTATGCCTTGATCCAAGCAGCGCATGCAGAAACTCTCGACGTTTGCTGATGGCCCAACAGGCCTAGGGTTCAGGGTTTCAAAAGTAAGCTGACAGGGGGGTCTCTTCACAGGTGAGCCCAAGACTCGGTCCCCCGCCCCCTGAACTCTCCCACTGTCTGGGTTGAACTGCTCATGGTAGCATGAAGCAACCGGAGCAAGAAGCACACCTGAACCCGAAGACTCAACCAGCTTCCTGGAAGGACACTTCTGACGTCTCTTTCTCCTCCAAATCATCCCCTAGCGATGAAGGATGGGTTGGCATAGCCAAGGGGTTCTCACAGGGAATGCTGTGATGGTTCCATTCTTCATACGGCTTCAGGAATTCGGAATACTTGTTCCTGGCAATGCCTGTTTTTTCTGGCAATGATGTCGATACTTCTTCTTCATGCGCTCGGAGACCTCTCCGATTCCCCCCCCCCCCCCTCCCCCTCCCTCCACAAAAGAAGGCCGGGTAACTTCCGGATCTGCCCTGTGGCAGAGGAAAGCATCCTGGATCGCACGGTTTGCTTCGCTTTCTGGGGGGCCTTCTGAGGCCTTGCTTGTGTTGTTCCGGTCGACGAAAGCTCAAGGCTCATGCTTTCAGGCGCTGAGGGGATTTCATGTTCAGATGCTTCCAAGATCGCAGAATCAGTTACTCACGCTGTTTGGGAGCCTGAAACTTTCAGGGGCCTGAAAGGCTCCAAAGTCATGGTCCGAAAGGTCTCCCAAGCCGCAAGCCCTACGCCCTCAACCCTGCTGCGGCACCCAGCCAGCTAAGCCCAATTATCATCCGAGCTGCAGGCGGGAGGGCTGACAGCGTCCCTGACGCTCCCATGACACGGACCAAGGCATCACAGTCGGAGTACCTTTTGTTGGTGGCGGGTTGACTAGGAGATTGAGTCTCTGATTGGACGGTTGGCTCGGACTTGGGACCTCCAGAGCTCTGGATTTTCCCACACTCTCATTCTCCTCGGTCGCGTCAAAAGGGCCCGGGTCTCCCTGCCTCAATCAACTTCGGATGCCTTTAGATGAAGTGCCTGGTTTCACGCTGCTTCCTAAACTCCAAACTCCCAGCTATCCCTGGAGTGTCTGGCAGCCCAAGAACGCCTACCCCCCCTCTGGAGTGCTACCGGATACCAAAAAACCGCATCCACAAAGCATCCTGAACATAGCAAGCTACTGGAAGGTTCGAAGCAGCCAAAAAAAATTGAGGATGGTTGCTGCGTCCAGTGAAAGGTCTCGGATGACGGTTTCTAGGCCTTTGGGGTTCAAGGTTGCCGGTTCCAATGTGACGAAAAAGTGAAGATGACGCTTTCGCAAGGTTCAGGGATGCTCCTTCTGTGGAGATTCCAGGTTTCGGGGGTGATTTAGGCCGATCTGCCACAGGGTTAGCTAGCCAGGCTTGCAATGAAGGCATGATGCACATAACTACGGGAGCAACACAGATTTGCCACTGTGCAAAGTGGCTGGGCACCTGTGAATCCCCCAACAAAACTCGCATGAACTACTTCATGAACGAGCTTTAACCCTAAACCCTAAACCCTAAACCCCAAGCCCCAATAACCCCAATGACCCTAATAACCCTAATAACCCGAATAACCCTAAACACTGAACCCTGAACCCTAAACCGCCTCAGTTGAAGCGCAAGCTACGGGTGACATTCGATCAAGTCATCAGGCCACGACGAGACCAAGAGCTACAACTGCCAACGGCCCTCTTTACCGGCAATGTCTTAAACCCTACACCCTAATCCCTGAACCCTAAACCCTAAACCCTGTAGGGCTCAGGAGGTTGAGCCCAACTCCGGCCGACCCTAAACACCTCCTGAACTTCCTAGATCTGTCAAAAGTGCAAAATTGCGTAGACGAAGCCGCTGGCCGTGATGGGCAAAACATCCCAGGCCTCCCGTTGAGCCCTGAACCCCCGTTTTCTGAAAACCGAACGCGTCAAACCTGTCATGGGCAAGGTGCAGCCGGCACTGAGCGACATTGCCCAGGTGTCCAAACCAGTAGAATGCGCAGCTGCCTCACGTGTCCAATGATCACGGATTCACATCTACGGTTTTTAGGGTTCAGGTTCTCTTTGAGCAGGGAGATTTAGGCGCTCTAGTTGCGAGCAAAATCGAAACGCTCACAATTCTTCTAAGGGCTAGGCAGGGTACTGGTGCCTCGGCATAGCGCCTGGCATGCGTCATCGTCCATGCTGGCGCTCCCGTCATACTGAACGGGGCTGAGGAGGTAACGCTGCTCCTTCTCTCTCTCTCTCTCCCTCTCTCTCTCCCTCTCTCTCTCCCTCTCTCTCTCTCTCTCCCTCTCTCTCTCTCTCTCTGTCTCTCTCGCCCTCTCGGTCTCTCTCCCTCCCTGAAATAATTAGGCAAAGAGACCTGAAGAGGTTTCAGAGCAAGACTTAACAACAAGAACTCCAAAAGGCTGACTTGGCTGGACTTGCAGAGCAAAGGCTCGCAAACGAAGGAGCCTCGAACAATGGGGATGCTTGCCTTGGAAATGCGTGGCAACATACGAAACAAAAAGCCACGGCACCCAAAACAGGACTGCATATAGCCGGTGAGAGAAGGAAACGTCGTGGCCTCAAGGTCTCCCCAGACCTGCTTCTGGAGACATAAGGGGCATCCTGCCGGGTTTGTCCTGAAGTCGGGGTTCACCCTTAGGCTCATCCGAGTTGCGGGCACATACTGGTTCTCACTACCCGCCGGAACGTCTTGGAAGCTTTGTGAGGTTACCTTCGCTGCTCTTGAGGCCCCAATTTACATGGTATTCGCTTTACGACTTGTTTCAGTAAAGATGGCTCACAAATAACTTGGCCGTAGGACCCTCAACCCTACATCCTAAACAAGTAAAGAGTTACAAGCACGGTCAAGTCTCCGGGCTCTTCGCTCCCCAGGCCATGGGAAAGCACTCGCAGGGATGCAGGCTGAAATCGTAAGGTGTCTCGGTTGAAGGGTCCTTACTTGCTGAGTTTAGGTTTGAAGATTGCAAGGGATGTGAAGATTGCAAGGGATGGGCGCTTGCGACCAACTTAAACTCCTCCAAAACCATGGTTTGGCGTCCAAAGAAAGACCATGCGCTGTCTCTTCGGCTACCCAAGGGTCGTCCCAAAGAATCGGAGAGGGATCGGAGGACGCAGACGCAGAGTCGGAGCCTTTGTCATCATCCTCGTCCCCCTGCTCGTCACCATCGGCTTTGCGCCTAAGGCTGGATTAGGGCGGCGATCTCAAGATCCCTGACACAACAAATGCATCCTGCTGCCCTCAAGGTCTGCCTCAAACAAGTTAATAGTAATTCACCTTGTGTAGCATAGCATTGTAAAGTATAACAGAGTCTAAATAGATAAACGTGGAGATAGACATAGACGCACATGTGTATACATACATATGCACATAAATTTGCCTCTATGAATTTGTGTATGTATTTATGGCTCAGGCTGACTCCACGAATTCCGAAATCTCAGAGACTTGCAAGCGTTGCTTGTTGGGTTCAACCCAAACATCTTCCTCTTGATGCTCAAGGAAGCCCTCTAAGTTTTTTTGGCCCAACTGTCAATCCTAAATCCCAAACAGCTCCGACATGTGCCAGGGGGCTCACTTGGTGGCTGCATGCAGCTCTGGCTCCGAAGTGCGAGCCTTACCGCAGAATTCTGTCGGGATCGGGTTAGGGCTTACTGGAGAGCGGCGGGTGTCAGGCTTGAAGACACCACACGACAAGGACCCCTTGCTCCACGATGCTGCCGAAAAACGAAACTTCCGGCATTAAATAAGGCCAGAACGGGTCAGGTTTCATAGATCGGAATGGGGCTTCGTTTAGGGACATGTAGGGTTTAGGGAGGGTTTCAGAATTCAAGACTCTTTGGGCTTTGCGGCCCATGTTCTTGAGGGTTTACGGTTTAGAGGATTTCGGACGTGGACTGCATCAGCCCCTATGGGAGTGTGCTCATTCAGCGACTGAGGTGCTGGATCCCCTTGCCGATGTCGGTGGTCTTCTCGCTGGCCGTGATGTTCTGCGTGCCGACGTCCTTAGGAAAGCCCAGTAAACTCACAGAGTCGCGCCCTCTCAAGACTCTGGCCCGGCATACGTGAACAGCAACGCTCCTTCCTTGCTGGCCTCTAGAAGTGAAGTCCTTGTGATTCATCATGCTACTCATCATCAAAAGGGGCTTCTTGCAGCGATAAGGTGAACCGACCGAGCGCTTTGGCCAAACATGTCACTCACACGTTCACACTTACATCACTTTTGACACGCTTAGCACGGAATCTTTAAAATTACATTGATATATTGTGATATAACAAACTGTGGAAGATATTCGTAGTATTCTCAACAAATGTTTAAACAACAATGAACCAAGATTGGTTGACTATATACTTCTGTTTGCTGACCATAGCACACATAATCTGTTGCATTCGGATCTATCCTATCTATCTACTCATTGTGTCATTGGAAATCATGCCAAAAGGCAAAAGGGTGTCTACGCATTGCATTGCAACAAAATATAGCATTGCATTTCATTCAAGTGTGACCTTTGTAATGGATTATTTTGCGCAAGCAAACCCCTCAATGAATCCTTCTGCTGCTCAACCTTAAACCTTAGCCTAATGAAACCTGAACTTTCAAACTTGAACGCCGAACCCTAGACCCTGCAAACCCCCAACCCCCGAAGCTCACGTGCGCTGCTGGCTCAAGGTTTCGGGTGTACGGTTCGGCTGCTCTCCGGCGTTTTCTCCTCGACGCGCGGTCGCTTTCCACATCTGCAACCCGACCGTGTGGACTGGAAATTTCGAAGTGCACCGCTAAGACCGCCGACGCGCATGCCCCGGGCCGGTCCAGTTGCCCAGGCCGCGCAAGCGGTTACAATTCGGGGGCACATCGGGCGAAACCCTAATGTTAAATGCCTATGCAGACAAAGATCGTAGCAGGAACCAGTCCTAAACCCTTCTTCAACCCCCTAAGACCATCCAAAGGGCACCACCACTAAAGGTCCCTGACAGCTGTGCTCGACAAAGGGACAAAGACAGCTTGTAGCAGGTCGCCTTGAGCCCCGCTTAGGCAGGCCACGCGTTCTCCTTTTTGCTGCGGTTGGATGCCAGAGAACAGTTTGGAGTTTAGGGTTTAGGGTTTAGAATTTAGGGTTCAGGAATTTCAAACGTCTCAGTTTATTGTGTACCTGAAATTTCTTAACTTGTCGATGGGGAAGCTGAACGAATTTCCTAGCACCGCAACCTTTCATTCTGGCGGAACTGTCGGCCCTAGTAAAGGAGCCGAAGTAACCAGTACTATCCCCTCAACATCCCTGCATGCTTACAACATAAACTATCCGCAATACTCGTTCTCCCAAGTAAGCTGGCCCTAAGTTGAGGGCTGCGGGTTGACGGGGTGCAAAAGACAGAAGCAAGATGGTAGTTGTGGTACATATCCGGTGACTTCTCAAATTGTGTTCCCTTTTTGTGGTCACCTTATTCGCACAAACCATGCGTGCAGAGCCAGTGTTGCACGTTGGGGCCAAGCCCCAGACGTCAACCCTACGCGCACACGATCCGTAGCAGCCCACACCCAATCTGGCAGATGAGATGTCTGACGAGACGCCGTACAGCTCCAGATAGTTGGAGGTGCCTGGGCGGTCGTATTCTACAACTAGTATTCTTCAATAATGATCATGAACGAAATCATTTCGTCAGATGAAGCCGGGGTGGGGTGGGTGGGGGTCGGGGGATTGGGGGTCGGGAGTGGGGGGGAAGGGGGGGGGGGAAGGGCGGGGTGGGGGGTGGGGGGGGGGTGGGGGGAGTGGGGGGCGTAAAGGACGGGTAGGGAATGATTTTATCGGTGCTACGATTCAATCCTCCCGAATGTCGAATCGTTCCGGATAGATGATTTGCGAGGACAGAGGCTGAGGAGGAGGAAGAGGAGGAGGAGGAGGCACGAGAGATTCCGCAACGATTCCCATGGTTCTCTTTAAAGAAGCAAAGCATGTGGAGGAGACGAGAGCCGCATGCACAGTCGCTGGACAACCTGAGGAGGAGGGCCATCGCGGCGGAGATCTTGCAAAGCCAACGCATCAAGCAATCATCCTAAGGCTGCCTGGGGGGGAGTGACAGTGACAGAGTGACGGGGCTGGCAGCCACCAAAACAATGGTTTACTGCAGTGGCGATAAGGGAGCCTTGCAAGCCAGTTTGGAACCTCTGCAGCGGAGGTTGCTCCAACGAGACAGAGCTGTCGAAATCTGTTCCTATGCGCGTCTTGCGCCTTGGAAGCACAAATCCTTTTGCAACCCTCTGAAGCACCCCATCGGATAGGCAAGATCCCAAAGATTCAGTGCCCTCATCTTCCAGATCCATGCCACCTTTAAACCCTAAAGCCTACTGAACCCTAAAGCGTCTTTCAGGTGTAGGCTTTGTCCGGGAACAGGGCCGAGCCGCGGTTGAGGAAGTCCCACGAGGCGTTCGCTCTACGAAGCCAGAGCGCCCCCATTGGACCTCGGGTCGCGCGTTGTGGGAGGAAGGGGATGTCGGAATTTAGCTAGTGGTTCTTGGTGATGAGGGAGCGGGGTGCCTTGTAGAATCCCTGGAAGGGTTTACTTTTAGGGGGATTCAAGGTACCTAATTCCCTCATTCCCCTAGAAAGCACCAGTCGGCTCAGGGAATCGCAGGGTTTGCAGGCTGAAGGTTAAACCCTAAACCCTAAACCCTAAACCCTAAACCCTAAACCCTTAGGGTTAGGGTTATGGGGTTTGGGGCTCCTCTTCCGGGATCCTGGAGTCCTGGAGTGAAGGTCTCGTCACCAGCTCTGGAATTTCTGTCTGAGAACACTGAGAACCCTGAACCCTGAAACCCCTTCAGCCCTAAACCTAAACCCTGAACCCTGAACCCTGAACCCCAAACCCTGAACCCCAAGCCCCAAACCCTAAACCCTAAACCCTAAACCCCAAGCCAGCTGAGTTCGGTGAGCCCAGGAACATTGTCCAAAGTCCGTTTCGAAGGGTGCCTGGAGATAGAAGCTGTCCTGGGTCGTTAGGGCAGACTGGCCTTTACAACGCTCCCCAAACCACCGGAAGCATGTCCCAAACGCCGGGCCTAGGGCATATGGGGATTTAAGACTGTGTAAAGGGTTTTAGGGGTTTGGAGTTGTGCCCATCGCAGGGCCAAAACACAACACGCCGAATCCAAAGCCCACCTTAAACCCAGAAAAACTCTACCGAGTCCCTGGCAACAAAAATCCCTAACTTTAAATGCCCCAGTGCAACCCCTAATCAATCCCCCCCCCCCCCCCAGGCCCCAATGTCCAATTTTCCGATTTCCATGGAGCTTTGTGATCATGGGGACAATCATTCGGTGAATTAGCGGGAAGAGACTGACCCCTGCCTCTACAGTGATCACGCTCTTCTGGTAGGCCCACTCGAGCTGATCGACAGTTTGAAAGCTGAGGCCCACAGGGCAAAACGTACCTGAAGAAGGGTGGAAGAAGCTCACTTTCGAGCTGATTATTCTGGGGTTTGTGGGGTGTTGTTGCCCGAAGAAGCGTGCCAACGCGATAGGAGGTGGTGGTGCTGCTGATCTAGGTGCTCTGGATCAAAACACCCTTGACCCCTAAATAGGGTTTAGGGTTTAGGGTTAGGTTGGGGTTTAGGGTTTATGGTGTAGCAGTGATCAGCTGTACGGCATTGACCCAAAATCCTAAACCTGTAGACCCTAAGCCTTAACCAAAAGCAGCTCTGCAACCAAAACGAAGTTCCAACACTCCGCAAGGCCTTCGTAGAGCCAAACCGGCTCTTGCAGGTCCTTGTTTCTTGGTTTCTTGAGGGTTTAGGCTTGGCCTGTGTGATTTTGGATTTCTGGGGTAGTTCTAGGCTGTCGCGGGATTGCGGGGTTCGCCGGATTTCGGATGCTTGGGTTTAAAGGTCTAGGGTTAAGGCTTTCGATTCGGATTTA